ACTTCTATGAAAATTAACACACACAATTTTTAAAAAATACAGCGTTTTCATTTGATGACAAATAAAGTTGGACACTAAATAATAGTAAAGTTATGTTTACCAGACATATAAGGATGTGTAGAACCAAATGAAGAAAGTGAAATAAATAATATTAGTGTCCAGCTTTATTTGTCATCCAATGAAAACGCTGTATTTCTTAAAAATTCTTTGTGTTAATTTCCATAGAAAAACAAAATTCGATAATATATCAAAGTCCGTTCATATATTAGCCTTCTTTTTTCATAGTGCTTCATAGAAGCGCGTTCGTAAAAGATGGACAGGTACTTGACACTAAGTATGTTGAATTCATCCGGAGCTGTTCTATGGAAGTAAGAAATATTTTCCGATCACTATCACTCCCGTCGAAGTTTCTTATTTCTGTAGAACAGCAAGGGTGAACACTAACATATCCTGCGTAAATACTATTTTAATAGTAGCGTAATAATTTTTACAACCGTTCTTTCATAAAGATAATGACGTCATCTGAGCGCATGAGCTGTCTGGCATTAAAGGTTTCAGATGGGTTTTCGGTATTGATGAAAATATCGAAATCCAAATCCGATTTGAAACTTTATATTTCATTGTCGGTGAAATGTTTACCATTAGAAAATTATAAGCAAATTTCAATGTCACTCTTTTATTGCTAACACCTGCAATACTTTTTAAAAAAAAATGATTTTTTGTTGAGGCGTTTGTGGGAAAAATCGCCAGAATATGATAGGCAAATTCATAAATTGCATGTAATTGTTTTGATCAAATTATTGCGTTTCTTTCATTTATAATAAAAAAACTGTAGGCTATGTCGTTTTATAATTGACGTCATAGTGGCACAACATCACGCTAAATGGTAGCGTTTCAATATTAACCGCCCTCAAATAAACAGGAAATTTCTTATTTACTAAATTTATTGAACTTTTTCGCATACAGGTAACATTATTTACTAAATCATTCAATTAATTCAATACAGAACTTACACATACTCATTATTCTCTGTTATGTATTTTTCTTTCAATGAGCGACCAGATTGAATAAACAGGGGCTCGTCTCATCTGGGTGTAAGCTAGTCGCAATCGCTTTTCGTTTTGTTTATGTTTGACGCGGTTCAAATATTAAGATTTACTTATCAGAAATTTATAAGGAACGATTTTAGACTTTTTCTTTGGAAAAGAAAATATATCCAGCCGTCCGTACCTTTATAACATTTTTGCTCTGCTGAATGCGTTTCTTCTTCTGATAAGGGGATAAGAATCATAAGACCATAATTATAGCACAATACTGGCGAAATTTAATGTGAAGACAACAATACACAAATGTTTCCTGAAAGTGGAGGCTTTTCATTCCACTGTGCATTTTATACAAAAATATTCTCAAATTACACACGTGTATACGTGTTTTAATTGGTATATTAACAACAATATCTATTATGCCACCAGTTAGAAAGATATTTATACCCGATGGTGCAGCATTGTTCAATAAATTATTTCTGACCTGACAAACATTTTTTCAGATATATATCATTTCCTTCATACAAATAATTCATTATCAGCTGACTGGACAAATGGAAATCCACCAAGTAGAATCAAAGGGCTGCAAGCTCTGTGGTATTTTCTGATCTTTGCAATCTAAATCGTACTGTATATCTGTATGTATTTTCCGGTATACGTTTATTTTTATATACTATAATTCATCTTACAGGGCACCGAGATTCAGTTACTGCGTTTAGATTTTTTACTATAACAGTTTGAGTTTGATACATACGGAATTTTGCATGACCAGACTTGCATAAAAAAAATCATTTATGTTCATTTTTTTATGACAGCCACACTTTATCCTTGCATATCGTTGCTACTTCTTTAAAAAAAGATACGGGGAAGTTATACGAAGAAAGCCTGAATAAAATCAAATATTTCTAAATTTAGAATTTACATTTCGGGTTTGTAACCTTTATTAATTTCGAGGTATTTTGTACACGATAAACCTGTTGTTTAACACTGATGTAAATAATTTAGCGAAAATCTTCTCGCCAAAACAGTCCGACATGTATATATTCCACTACTCGACAGTCAGATTTATTTGTGTACTACGCTCTAAAGTATTCGGTAATCGACATCGCTTAAATAGCATTTTCATTGATTAAAATGATATTCATCCACGTATTTTGTGATTGTGCATTTATTGACAATTCTAAAAGCCAACGCTACTGTACTTTGAATACGTTGTAATTTGTTGGATACTTGTAACAAAATAAAAATATTTCTTTCTTTTACATCGCTAATTTTAAGCTGTTTGGAGAACTACTTGTTGTTAGGTTTGTCGTGAAATTCTGTGCCAGAGATTGAATGTCAGCATTATATTTCCTGATCTGCGATCAAAAAATACAAAAACGCGCCGTACGTTATCATTGATATTTTGTGCGCCATACGTTATCATTTCCAGAAAATGCCCCGATATTAATATTTACAGCGTTAAAACTAGCCACAAAGGGCATAGATGCTTACTTGACAACATATTACAACTTTTTAAAGTCATTGGTTTCAGTTAATAAGCATATATGTAAAAGAAACAGTGAATTTGAGAGAAGAAGCCGTACGTTACCACGATCAAACCGGTGGAAAATTCTCTCGCTTCGAATCTGGTGACGCGCATTTCAGATGAAGTACGGGACGAAACATCATGAAATAAAATTCTGTGTGCCAGGAAAATTGTGGAGAAGGTTATTATATATACCTTTACACAAGAACATCACGAATTTCAAAGAAGAAAAGGAAAAACTTACCTTTTCGCTGCATCCGCCATCTTGTTTGTTTGGGTAACGAACGGCGTGATTCTCCCCCTTGTTAAAGGCGCGTCAATGAAAAAATGGTTCTTATTCACTCCAAACGGTTAATATTTTTGTGTTTGATAAATAGAATATCGAATTCTTGTATGTTCATTACTGAATGTATTGAACTCGTTGAATAAAATAATATTAAGCTCGCTCGCAAGAGGCTCGTTCAATAAATTCAGTATTAAACTTACACTCATTCAATATCCTCTATATATTCCCCAGCTAAAAAGTCCTAATATTCATTCGACAAAAGGGCCACAATAAGGATTAAAAGTCAAGTTTCTCTGTGTTGCATAATAACAAAGTTATGTCCCTTTCTAAGTATATACATGTATAATATATCAAAAACCAAAACAAATTAAATTACAAATTGTTGTCAAACATATTTTCAAGCATAAAAGTACCGAAACAGACTTTTCTTTTGGATGTCAAATATATACATTCGTTTTACATAATCTTTGTTTATATATGAACTGCTTTTAAATAATAGACGAGGATATTCCGATTAATTAATTTTATGACTTTATACCGCTCTCTTTTTCAATAGATAAAAATTACTCAATCTAAGTATAGCTCAAATTTGTTATTTCCCAAGTAATGGCAATAATTAATGTCTCATGAACATAAGTAATCAAGTTCAAATTTAGGTACTAATAACTTTTGCATAAAATCATGTCCCGGCAATTAAAATTCATTTACATGTACAATAAATTCACCATATATTCAGTTACAAACGATTATTTTATTCGAAAATACGATCTTGACAACGTTACTTTTTTAACGATTCTAATCATACTGAAAGTTACTTGGCAATAAAATGCCGGACATCGCTTCAACTGTTTATTGACCAAGTATTTAAATTTTTGAACAAAGTTGAATGTTGTTATTCTCAATTAATGAAAATAATTTAGTATTTTTGTCCATGTTGAACCCTCCCCCCTTTATCAAATAATGTTTTATAATTTTTATATAGCTCGGTTTATATTCGTAGCAGGTGAACAAAATGTTATCCGTTACAAATAGTGTCCAACATAGCTGATTATTGTACTAGCAGACGTTTAGGAATCGAATGTCTGGCTGTTTTTAATGCAATCTCAATGCTAAATTTCGGACTTAATCTACAATATGCATCTTGTTTGTGACAATTACATAAAAACACCTCTAAAATGTCAAAATGTATGTGGGTATAGTTGTTCTAATTTTCAACAGAATTCGATTAATCAAAGAGTAAAATAAGATATTTCAATATATCATAAAAATAAGATATTTCAATATATCATAAAGATAAGATATTTCAATATATCATAAAGATAAGATATTTCAATATATCATAAAAATAAGATATTTCAATATATCATAAAAATAAGATATTTCAATATATCATAAAAATAAGATATTTCAATATATCATAAAAATAAGATATTTCAATATATCATAAAAATAAGATATTTCAATATATCATAAAAATAAGATATTTCAATATATCATAAAGATAAGATATTTCAATATATCATAAAAATAAGATATTTCAATATATCATAAAAATAAGATATTTCAATATATCATAAAAATAAGATATTTCAATATATCATAAAAATAAGATATTTCAATATATCATAAAGATAAGATATTTCAATATATCATAAAAATAAGATATTTCAATATATCATAAAGATAAGATATTTCAATATATCATAAAGATAAGATATTTCAATATATCATAAAAATAAGATATTTCAATATATCATAAAGATAAGATATTTCAATATATCATAAAGATAAGATATTTCAATATATCATAAAGATAAGATATTTCAATATATCATAAAGATAAGATATATTAGATCAGATAGAAACATTTTATATGTCTACTTTATAGACATGGCTTTAATATTAAAGTATTTAGTGAATTAATACAGTCTAATATAAAGTTGACCACCTACGGGTAAAGATGTTATAAACCTTCTCTAATTGGCATAAAATTAAAAAAAGATTTAGTTGATCCGCTTAAGGAACCGCCAGATTTATAGCAATCTTATGATCCTACGTTTACGTACCTTTCTCTCAAAGCCGATTAAAATTAATTAGACAATTTTTTTACACTGAATTGTTCATTTCAAATAAAAACAGTGTATCGTTGTTTACGAATAGAGATGCACACCTTCTAGTTTTTCATTTTTTACACAATGATAAAATTAGATATATCTATGATAACAAGTATTGAAGTAGAAGTTATAAGTGTTTATTCAAATAAGTAACTTCACAAGTAGTGTTTGCATGACGATTGGATTTTTTTTATTAAACACGTTTTACAAAGGGACACTTCAGACTGATTAACTAAATTGATAGTATCTCCAACATGTCAAACTCGGGTGCTTCAGATGTATTGTCCCAGGCGTCAGACGACGACGACGAATGTGTAATTGACGTCGTGAATGATAACACAGCATCTGATAACTGTAAACTAAATCGTGAGTATATTTCTTGTTAATACCGTTAAAAAACAAAAGAGCGGGTATAGGTTATGTGTATTTATTTCTGGCTGATTCTTCCTATGCGACAAGTGCAGATCAATCTGATCCCCCCCCCCCCCCCCCCCCCGCCGTAAAATTTATCGATGGAAAGATGGACACGTTCATATAAATATTTAGCGTGGTATTACATTTTACAATAACTGGTCCTCTGTAGATATTGTACCTGTTATTATCATTATATATCAAGAATAATATAACTGAAATGTATCGTTATAAACGCTATACACTTGCATTACAATCTGAATACATTGTGATACTTTAATTCAACACAAATTATAACACAGTGACACAGTGACACATTTATCAATCTTACTGCTAATGCTCTCCTTATTTTTCTTATATTTTATTCTGACACGGGCGACTATTTCAATATTCCTGTATGATATGAAAAATTGAAACATTTATAATATTGTTGAACAATATTATCATTGGTTATTCGACAAAACAATTATTATTAATTATTGCTTTTATTATTTTAATTTATGTCCGTATCTTACATTGTGTATGTTTAACCCAGGTCTTATTTTCTTAGATTTTACGACACGTGTCTTACCACAGTGTATGTTTAACCCAGGTCTTATTTTCTTAGATTTTACGACACGTGTCTTACCACAGTGTATGTTTAAATCTTTGATTTTTTTTCACTCGTATCAAAGCACAGCCTTATGAGAACATCGGTCTATTTGTTGTTGTTTTTGTCAGTCCGTCTGTTGTCAGTGCTGACTTAATTTGATGAAAATTGCAATATATATTCTTTAAAACTTATTGAAATCAATGGCCACAACGTGGGTTTTTGAATCGATGAGTTAAAGGTGCGTTGTTTCAATTATTGAAATATTATTCAAAATGATTTCTATATAGAGTGTGACACTGCCTTGTTATCTTTCACTCTTATCCTACCACTTATCTCACCACTTATCTTACCACTTATCTCACCACTTATCTTACCACTTATCTTATCACTTCACTTATCTTACCAATTATCTTACCAATTATCTCACCACTTATCTTATCATTTATCTTACCACTTATCTCACCACTTATCTCACCACTTATCTTATCACTTCACTTACCTTACCACTTATCTTATCACTTCACTTACCTTACCAATTATCTTACCATTTATCTTACCACTTATCTCACCACTTATCTTACCACTTATCTTATCACTTCACTTATCTTACCAATTATCTTACCACTTATCTCACCACTTATCTTACCGTTTATCTTACCACTTATCTCACCACTTATCTCACCAATTATCTTACCACTTATCTTACCAATTATCTCACCAATTATCTTACCACTTATCTTACCAATTATCTAACCATTTATCTTACCACTTATCTTACCAATTATTTCACCAATTATCTTACCACTTATCTTCAATATTTCTCCCACATTTTACTAATATACACATCTTTTCATATCATTTGTCCCAAAGAAAAAAAACGAAATAAAACTCACCCTAAATTTAAAAAAAATGCAGATTCCATTAAATGTTCAAGCACATGCATACACATTTCATTTTACACTACCACTAAACAAATTACTTAAAACATTGAAAACTTAAGTACCAGTTAAAAGAAGCCTAAAGCGTTTAGTTTTGCTGAGCTAATACAAGACATATAGCTACAGTTATCACAGCAGTCAATTAATATGGGCTGTAACCCCTACCCGAAGTTGGAGAGTACCTACTAAATTTCATATTATAGAATTTTAGCATAGTATATCTTTAACTTGATAGTAAATGAACTTACAAATGTAGATATTTCGTATCTTGACACCTTAAGAACAATAAAAAATTAGAAGTGTGTATCTTTTATGTTTGAGTGAAATCTCCTGATAACTCTTCAAATGGCATAAGGATTCTACAGGAAGGTGACCAAACTCCTTACAGCGGTTACGTCACGCTTTGCTACTTTAATCAATGTCGCCACTGAAACCCACGTGACGATAGTTGTATCATGTGACAAAAACATGGTGGCCAGTTTCAGAACGCCAAGGATCCCATATCCAACTGGCAGATTTACAATTATATCCTTACCAGATAAAATATGTTCAAAACTACACTTTAAAACCAGTGCCGGATCAAAATATTTTGTGCAATCGTTCAATAACTGTCTAACTTCAGCCATTGTTTACTATACATACGGTGTCACAGTGAAAATATCTTTCGTGATGTTTACAAAATAATTTTAATACGTATATTTTTTACATTCATAACAATTTAATGAAAAGAAAGTTCCACAGGGAGGTAACTATTGCGCGACAAATCGAGTCAGTTAGAGTGACCTCCCCTGGTAACATTGCAAATGGCGTAAGGGTTCAAAGGGAAGTAACTGTTGCACTCCAAAAAAGTGTTGATTAAAGTGACCTCCCCTTATAACATTGCGAATAACGTAAAGGTTCATAAGGGAGGTTACTGTTGCGCTACTAAGAGTCGGTTAGAGTGACATCCCCTTAAAACATTGCAAATGGCATAAGGGTTTTAAAGAGAGGAAACTGTTGCGCTAAAAAAAGAGTTGATTACAGTGACCTCCCCTGATAACATTGCAAATGGCGTAAAGGTTCAGTAGGGAGGTGACTGTTGCGCTAAAGACATAATCAGTTAGAGTGATTTCCCCTGATAACATTGCAAATGGCGTAAGGGTTATGAAGGGAGGTTTACAAATGTGTTAAAAAGAGTCAGTTAGAATTACCTCCCCTGAAAACATTGCATAGGACGTAAGGGTTCAAAGGGAGGTAACTGTTGCCTCAAAAAAGAGTTGATTCGAGTGACCCCCCTGATAACATTGCAAATGGTGTATGGGTTCAAAAAGGGAGGTGACTGTTGCGCTATAAAAGATTCGGTTAAAGTGACCTACCCTGATAACAATGCAAATGGTGAAAGGGTTCCAAAGAGAGGTTACATTTGCACTTCAAAAATAGAGTCGATAAAAGTGACCTCCCTTTATAACATTGCAAATGGCATAAGGATTCAACAGAACTTTGCATGATTGCATGTAAGAAATTTTGGTCTTTGAAGCTCCTCCTAAATAAGATTTTATTCCTCAACTCCTAATAATATTTTATTTCTCCTATTGAAGGATTTTTAAAATTTGGACCAAAACGCCTTTGTTAACGTTGTCATTATAATTTAGAGATTTTCGACCATGCGACCACATACATGCTTGAAGGAGAGTGACCGTGCGACCACATACACGCATCACAGGATTCCCCTTCTCTTACGAGAAAGAGACAAAGAGATGTCCAAGAAAGGGACAAAGAGATTTCCGCCCTTTTATTTAAGGGCAGACTTAAAAAATGCCTTTGCCTTATGTTTTTGACAAGGAGGCTAATTTTCACAGATATGTCTTGAATTGGTTTTTATACAACATAAGTAACGCAAACCAAGCGGGTTAACAGTTTACGTCTTTTTAAGTCCGCTATGAAATTTTAAAAAGATAATATATAACTTCTTCGATATAATTATTTTGCCTTGAATAAATTTAAATTGTAATGACCTCTTAAATATATAAAATATATTAATTGACAGAAAAAATGCTTATTAAAATACAGTGTTTTGATATTTTTGTATAATAAAAAGGCGGTATTTCAAATAACACATTTATTTTGGAAAATCGGCTTATTATTAATTATAGTTAAGTAAATTGACTATTTAAAAAAAACTATTTAAAAAAACATCCTCAAACACTACATAAGTGAGTGCGCCGTTCTTGGCCAATTTAATTTTGTAAATGCTTACTAGCAAAGACTAACCATAACATAATATCATCCGAAAGGTACCATAAACAGTAATAGAAAGTCAAGGAAGCAACACCATTTGAGCCGCGTCACGACAAAATCAACATAATGGGTTTGCGACCAGCATGGATCCAGACCAGCCTGCGCATCCGCGCAGTCTGATCAGGATCCATTTTTTTCGCTTACAAACCATATTACAAGTAGAGAAACTGACAGCGAACAGCATGGATCCTGATCAGACTGCGCGGAAGCGCAGGCTGGTCTGGATCCATGTTGGTCGCAAACGCACTATGTTGGTTTTGTCGTGACACGGCTCATTTTCAACCTCAGATTTCCAAAAACTTTCTCAGTCTACGGCATGAGACACGTCTTCAAACCACCCCATTCACATAAATTTACGCTTAAATTCAATTTCACTTTTGCACATACGACTACGGAACACGCTTAAAAATTAGTATAATGTGATTTGCCACTTAGAGAATGCGTTTTATGAGTCATCTTTTACATTTTTGTAACATGCTGGCCGAATCTTAAGAAAAAAATTACGCATTTTTCGCCTTTCACAATCGTTTTCTTTTGTTTTATCTCAAAATGTTCCACTTACATGTCAGCCCCAAGGCTAACTCTGTTTGGTATCCGCCCCTCAATCGGAACGTCCTCGGCTATTATCTATAATAATCTCGGAGTTAATACGGATTGGAAGTAGTTCTACCACATGCAGAACCAGAGAGTATAATCTTCGATAATGTAAAACGAATGGAACAGAATTAATGCATTTATTCTATCTTGCTTCAGCTCGGTGACATTAGAACTTGCGTTTTGCTTGATTCCTATTTGCATTATTTCATTCAAACTTGCGTAGTGACTAATTCTTTCATTGAGTGATAACTATTGAACTTGCATAGTCTTTTATTGTACTGTTTTGGAATATTAAAAATTTAACATCATATACCTTCATGTATCATCTACCTTTATTCATGCTCTGTACAAACTATTAAACTTTACGGTGTGTCTTTCATGATTTATTGCTCGCATGGCGTAATTACTGTGAGCTTTCGCATATTATTCAGTGTTTATGTTAAATAAAGGTCGGTGTCTGATGCTTTGTCGATTATGTTTGATCATCTGACATTGTAAATTTACAATTTAAATAAACAATGTATAGTGAAGGGGCGAGAACTCCATCGGAATCGGGATGTAGCTTTGTAAGACAATCACGCGCCAAAATAGCAGGACAAGCCGAAAAATAACGGGATGTACCCAAGAAATCGACACCTGCTGTCATCATATGAAGACAAAATATTGCAAATCACATTATGCTTATCGCCAACACCATTATATCGTTATCGTTGTTTACGTATTGCATTTAATTTGCGGATATATGAATGCTAAAACACGCCAAATTCGCCAAGTATTGATCAAAATCAATAATTTATGTAGTCCAAATGTCGAAAATGCAAGTGGCTGCAAATTAAAGGTATTGACTGGAACGTACCATTTTACATCGAATTGTATCAATAACAAGTAGAACGCCAAACACCGCCGTTCCTAAAGACCCTATTGTTAAAACACAATTTTTATGATTTATATCATAAATATAATGCTCAAATAAAGATTTATCAATATTGTAAGTTCCAAAAAGCATTATTTGTAAAGATATTACCGAATTTACATTTCATTTTATTATAATAAAGGGAGGTAATTAGAAATTTATTTTTTTATAAAGTATAAGTCAAGTTTTTCAATAAGAAATGAATGCATATATATTTTAATGATTTCATATAATGTGAACAAATAATTGCAGTACATATTTTACATATTCTTAGATGTTTGAAAATTGTTTTAGAAGCATAATTATATACATTTACTAATAATGTGTCCGATTCTGTTGCAGATTCGTTTTTGTACAACATTGGAGAGTCTTCTTTGCACAAATTGAAAACCAAAGCTCTAAACCAAATAATATGCCTGTGAGATTTCCGCATGGAATGTTCTTTTTTTGGACCGGCGTTTTGTTCTTTCACTATATAAAGTGCATATTTTTTTCTAAAAATACACCATATTCTAGAGTCAACAGGTAAAACACCATTTGTCTGATCCCGATAACGATTCATTTTTGCACAGCTTCGGAGGGTCTTCTTTTCAAACAATGAAGACCAAAGCCCTAACACAAACAATATGTCCGTGAGATTTCCGCATGGCATGGTCATTTTTTGGACCGGCGTTTTGTTCTTTCTCTATATAAAGTGAATGAATTTTCGCAAAAAAACACCATATCCTAAAGCCAACCGTTTAAACACCATTAGTCTGATTCCGTTGAAAATTCGTTTTTGTACAACTTTGGAGGGTCTTCTTTGTACACAATGAGCACCAAAGCCCTAACCAAAACAATTTGTCCTGGAGATATCCGCGTGGCATGGCCATTTTAATGAACGACGATTTGTTTTTTGTCTATATAAAGTGTATAAAAAACATAATATTATAGAGCCAGCCGTTAAGACACCATTCGTTTTTGTACAACTTTGGAGGGTCCTCTATGCACAAAATGAGGAATAAAGCCCTAACCCAAACAATATGTCCGGGAGATTTCCGCGTGGCATGGCCATTTTTGGACCGGCGATTTGCTGTAACTGAAAATTGGCAAAGTCAAAACCTTACTGAAACTGTGTTTTATATTATATGATCGATCACAACTTTATTAGAATGTTATTTAATGCTCTGTGACGAAAACTCGCTTAAGAGCAGGTTCTTTCAGGAATTGACGTCATTCACAGTTAGCCGTTGTAAATGAAACAATGCGTACTTAAAAAAAAAGAAAGAAAAAAGAGAACGTGGAATGATTAGGAGATTGTGATGGTTAAGAGGATCTTCTTCACAGCAATATAAGCTCTAGAACTAGCTACCGCAAGGGAAATGATAGCAGGAGGCCGCATAAAATTGTCGCTTTTTGGACCGGCGATTAATTGTCTAAGAAAAAGTCTAAGAAATTTCCTAAAAAAAACAACATTCATATTCTACAGCCAACCGTTTATACATACATAAAATTTCACTTAAGTGTGGTAACCACCTTGATGTATTTTCTTACAACAGCGTATGAAATTACAAAACTAATTCATTTATAACGGCGGGAAAGCGTCATCTTGTCATCTTAAGCATGCCATTGTAAAGCACGCGACTCATATTCTAACTCCCATCCCCCCGCAACCCCATGCCAGATGAAATTTAAGGCATGGGTAAAACTAACGGAAACACGAGTCTGATATGTAAGAACGATTGTTTCTATCTGCAGAAAGTGCAACGTTGTCTAATGAGTCAAGAGATGATGGTGACGATGATGAAGATGATGATTACGATGATGATGTCTTCTGCCACCATAAAAAACAACGTCGTAATAGAACAACATTTACGTCAGATCAATTACGGGAACTAGAGACGGTGTTCAGACATACTCATTACCCGGATTGTACGCTTAGAGAACAGATTGCTGAAAAGGTTGACCTAACTGAAGCGAGAGTTCAGGTTTGTTATTTTAAACTGTGTTTTAATTCTTCTTCTTTTTCTTCTTCTTCTTCTTATAACTATTATTATTTTATTATTATTATTAAGTTGATGTTGTTGTTGTTGTTGTTTTTGTCTTAAATAACAGTAGAAACGTTGTGTGTAATTTTGTTGTTATCATAAGAACAAAAAACAACCCAAAAATATACTTTGTAAACGTTTTGCATTTCATTTTTAACATTTCAGGGGCAATTCATTTCTTTAATGTTAACCACATTGACCTGGTTAACGTCATTTTACTTGTTGTTTTCTCATGTCATTATTTAAAACAAATGACGATATAGGCTAAATAACCAAGAAATTTCAAGTTCAACATTTACATAAAGTGTAAATTATGCTTTTTCCGCATTTAAATATACATTGTAATTCATTGATTTAACTGTCAACTGATGTAATAAACTGTTTAAAACATTTTTGAGCCGCGTCACGACAAAACAAACGTAATGCGTTTGCGACCACCATGGATCCAGACCAGCCTCCGCATCCGCGCAGTCTGATCAGGATCCATGCTGTTCGCTTACAAACACTATTACAAGTAGAGAAACTGATAGCGAACAGCATGGGTCCTGATCAGACTGCGCGGATGCGCAGGCTGGTCTGGATCCATGCTGGTCGCAAACGCATTACGTTTGTTTTGTCGTGACGCGGCTCATTTTATAGACAATGAGCGATAATGTTTCCTTTTAAGATTATACTTTAGAATGGCACAGAAAGGTACAGACAAAAAAAAAATCGAAATATATTGAAAAATATAGCGTTTATCAGACTAAGCGTGCATGTGCAAATTTTGTACGGCTCACATTTGTCGCATGTGACCACAACTGGGACATTAACGATGGCATGTCACGCCCCATCTACATATTCTTCACATTTGTTGTGAAGCTTGTTTTCAGAGTTAGATGAACATGACTGGTGTCATTTAAATACATGTATATGTCACTTATATTTTTATTTTTGTATATGAGCACGAATGTAACATATTTTAAATGGTCTTTTCGACAACAACTCACTGAGATACTGTTTCGTGCGCACGAGTTACTACTAGGTCGTGTGCTTGAGATAATTAAGTCGTGCACTGAGTATCTTTGTCGTGATTATAAGTTACTACATCGTGTGCACGAGATACTATGTCGTGCACACCGTTACTTTGTCGTGCGCACCAGTTACTATGTCGTGCGCACGGGATAATTAAGTCGTGCGTACCAGTTACTATGTCATGCACATGAGATTATAAAGTCTTGCGCAAGACTTAATATGTCATGAGCACGAGGTACTATGTCTTTCGCACGAGTAACTATGTCGTCAGCACGTTTACTTAGTCGTAAGCATTAGATTATTAATTCGTACGCATGAGTTTCTATGTCGTGCGCATGAGATAATGAAGTCTTCCACACGAGTGTCCAAGTCATAAGCATGAAAAAATATGTCGTGAACACAAGTTACTATGTCATGCGCACGAGGTACTTGATTTATAGGCCTTTGATTGTGATCCTAGATTATTCCTAATATGATCATACAGACATGTGTCAAATTTCAAGGGAATACCTTCAGTTTTTTCAAAGGTAAAACTTTAACCAGGAATTTTCTAAAAAAGTTAAAAAAGCGCGGTTGTAAAGTGTAATCTGTTGTTTGGTTAATTTTATTGTTCGCACGGCTAATCGTACGCACCACATAGTAACTTATCTCGTGTGCACGACCAAGTTATTAGTGCGCACGACTTTATAACTCCTGCGCACATCACGAGATGAATAAAAACACATGCACGTCACTTCTGTGCCGCCGTAGATTTTCACAATTTCTTAAAATTCTTCATTTATAAATATCTCTTAACAAGTTTTCTGTAAACTTAAAGTGTATGTTTGCCGTAACAGCAGATATCACGTGAAATTAATATCAGGTTTTTATTTTTCAGATGTTAGTCCGCAAACTAAAACATATAAAAGAACAAATAACACTTATCATGCTCAATTCTTACCAAACATTTTAAAGGTTGAAATTACGCAAGAACACCATAATTAGCGTGATTTCAGCACGTCCTTACGGAAGCTTATCAGGGCCAACAGTTGAGGAGATGTTTTGCGCCAAGTCGACTTATTTCTATTCGCATTGATAAGATGTTTTTGCATGTCTCAATAAAATTTAATGACAAATGAGAAGTTTTTAGGCATTGCAACTGAATTTTTCTCGATATGCTTGAAGCTTTTGTCTCTTCAATAAAAATCCTGTCAAAACATCGTGATTTCACGACTTTGCATGACAAATCAACGATCTACCTCAACTCATAATTAAAACGTCCGGCAAAACAATTTCATTCAATGTGTTGGAGTTACTGGCCTTAAAGTTGCATATCTCCAGTCGAGACTTAAGAGTTAAAGGAAAGTACAATGATTTCAGATTCAAGTAGGCCTAATACTTTATGTTATATGTAATTAGGGGCTGATTTTACAGTATTTACCACCACATGCTACTGCATAACTAACACAATAATGGCCTTTTTGTGCTTATTTTGACATTTTTGGTAATCTACGTGTATAGCAAATGCTGTGTGCAATGTCTAAAATATTTTCTATGTTCACTTCACAATAGTTTACATTTTTTAAAAACATTTTTAAAATCTTAATGAAAATTAGCATGAATCTGGAGGCATGCTGCTCTAGGCCTTCTCCCTAATGTTTCAAAGTTTTGATAAGAAATGCTACCTGACCTCATGACAGAACAAGAATAACAGGGTAAATCATGCAAGATATGTCAAACTTATTTTGCGCATATTTTCTGATATTCTTTTTATACTCAAATAAAAGAATTACAGTGTGAAATACATTATTGTTATTAATAAAAGAACTCCATTGACGTCCAAACGCCTCAAAGCATTAAATTTGAATGTCTTGCATAGATCAACCGAGGCACTTAAAACAGAAAGATATGCAAAAGATCATTAAGAATTGTCGATAATCGTATTATTTGTGTTATAATTAGCCCTATTTCAGTGAAAAGTGTTGCAATCCGTTTCAATTCGGGGAATTTTGGTCATTTTCTATAAACAGAAAAAATATTTTGGAAACACAGAATGCGTTAATTACCACAAGGTATTAATCTATAAACATAAATCAAATGGAACAATAATCTCGAACAATTATTTCCACATATTATATAATTATAAGTTTCAAGTAATAGGTCATATTTTTTGGTAAAGTAAAGAGTTCCCCTTGCTTCTACACATAGATCTGTTGGAAGTGCTCCTAATCTCTTTATGAATTAATTGTATTCTCTTTATTTGGTATTTATAATTAAACTTTGGTGCACTTTTCAAACGGGATTAATTATGTATTTGATTACATCGAACCAGATTAATCAAATTGTGGCGCGTTTCCAAAATACCTTTCAGCTGTTTGATTTAAACAAGGTTTCACAGAAATGTCTTCAACAATACAACTTTTATACATATTTTTGATGACCAATTAAACATTTTTAATGTAGATTTTCTAAATTTAATCATTTTATTTACAATGAAAGCATGCTTTTTGAGACATTGGGATTAATTTCAAAGCTATTTTGTACCCTAAGAGGATGATGCGAAGGGCATCAAAGGTTATCATATCATGCTGCGTGATAAGTTGCAGATATAGTCTGACAGTATCTCAAAGAACACCATGACGTTACTTTTGTACTTCTATACGCCTCATAAGAGTTTTTTTATATAAAGCTGACTGATCTTGAAGATTTATATTTTAAATGGTGATTTTAGTTCCTTAATAACCTTTTCTGTAATTATTAGTCATAAAACATGTTTAACTATCAATCATGTAAAGTTTTATCTCAACAAAATCTAAATAAAGTATGGTCAGAAATGTTATTTTATCAGGACAAGTTAAAGCAACAGAAATCCGATTACAGATGTTACGATGTGATATTATTCATAAAATTTAACGTAATTTTTAATGATTTGGTGATTAATATATTTTGAATGCTGTGTAAATAGCTTTGACCATTTAGACTTAAGAAGATTTAGTAAATTTATCTGTAAGGTCTAATACGTGCTTATACACTGTCTGAGAGTTTAGTGGATCAATTTGATAAAATATGGCGTGCAAGAGCATGCTTAATAAAATATAGTGTACATTAATAGTCATTCTGTAGAATTGAGTTAACAGTACAAACAATGGGAAGTTGCGATTTTTTGTTGTTAGAAAGAAACTTTGAATGCATTTTCATGAAGAACGCACTTTAATTAAGTACCATATAGTCATCATTTCCTTTCAACAGATTTTTATCAGCCAAATATCATGCACAGCTTTATAATTACGTAAATGCTAGTATTTGCTAAAATAAACTAAAATTATATATTTTTATTATAGAATATATCGTTTTAAAATAAAATTACACATTTTGTTATGACAGAATGCGTCACTTTAAAATGAAATAACATATTTTTATGCTCTCTGAATGCTCCCCGAAATATTTCGGGGGAGCATATAGTCGTCGAGTTGTCCGTCCGTCCGTACGTACGTCCCGAATTCGTGTCCGGCCCATAACTTTGTTATTTGAAGTCGGATTTTAAAACTATTTCACAGAAATGATCACCATATTGAGACGACGTGTCGCGCGCAAATTTGGGTCGCTACCTTGAAGGTCAAGGTCACAGCATGACCTTGCAGCAAAATCGTGTCCGGTCCATAACTTCATTATTTGAAGATGGATTTTAAAAATATTTCACAGAAATGATCACCATATTGAGACGACGTGTCGCATGCAACATTTGGGTCGCTACCTTGAAGGTCAAGGTCACAGCATGACCTTGCAGCAAAATCGTGTCCGGCCTATTACTTTATTATTTGGAGTCGGATTTTAAAACTTTTTCACAGAAATGATCACCATATTGAGACGACGTGTCGCGCGCAACATTTGGGTCGCTACCTTGAAGGTCAAGGTCACAGCATGACCTAGCAGCAAAATCGTGTCCGGTCCATAACTTTGTTATTTGAAGTCGGATTTTAAAAATATTTCACAGGAATGATCACCATATTGAGACGATGTGTCGCGAGCAACATGTGGGTCGCTTCCTTGAAGGTCACGGTCACAGCATGACCTTGCAGCAAAATCGTGTCCGGGCCATAACTTCGTTATTTGAAGTTGGATTTAAAAAGTATTTCACAGAAATGATCATCATATTAAGATGACGTGTCACGCACAACATTTGGGTCGCTACCTTGAAGGTCAAGGTCATAGCATGACCTTGCAGCAAAATTGTGTCCGGCACATAACTTCATTATTTGAAGTCGGATTTTACAACAATTTCACAGAAATGATCACCACAATGAGACATTGTGTCGCGCGCAACATTTGGGTCGCTACCTTGAAGGTCAAGGTCGCGGCATGACCTTGCAGCAAAATCGTGTCCGGCCCATAACTTCGTTTCTGGAAGTCGGATTTAACAACTATTTCACAGAGATGATCACCATATTGAATCGACGTGTTGCATGCAACATTTGGGTCGCTACCTTGAAGGTCAAGGTCACAGCATGACCTTGCAGCAAAATCATGTCCGGCGCATAACTTCGTTATTTGCAGTCGGATGTTACAACTATTTCACAAATATGATCACCATATTGAGACAATATTTGGGTTGTTTTTACACTTTGAAATTTGTCTGTGACATTACTCTGACACAACAAGAGGTATACCTTCCTGTGTCCAAAACCTATTCGGGGAGCATCACCCGGTTCAACCGGCTCTTGTTTATAATAGTTTATGTCATAAATTAAAATTGCAAATTTGTATGAAAGACACGTATAGCGCTATATTTAGCAACGAATCGAGTACAATCGAGTCTACTGAAAGGTTAAAACAAAGGGTACAGTTACAAAAAAGAAGCAGGCGCTTGATTACAATCGTCAGGCACGGTGCACATTAAATTGTATAGTAAAGTAATTTCGTTTATCAACTGTGTAACTGTCTCACATCCTTTTTTTACTTTTTTTTATCCTTTAACCAGGTTTGGTTTCAGAACAGGCGTGCCAAATGGCGAAAGCAAGAAAAGAACATAGTCAGAATGTTTGATGTCTTCAGACACAGACAGGATCCCATGACGTCATTTTCTACATCGCTCTCACTTCTTCAACCATCATTACCCAGCATACATCATCCATCAGTATACCATCCATGGATGCCAAGACTTCCGTTTCCATGGTCTACAACACCTGCTCCTTTCTCGACGTTTCCAAGGATGTTACCTCGTTCAGCCTCATTAACTTCATACACAGGTAAGTGACTTAAGGTTTTTTTTTATTGATCGGACAGGTTTAAACGAAACCAACACCTTAAATGATTTACTTGGGAGGAGAACTCAAGCATGCATCGAAGTAGTGTAACCATTTTTCGATTCTTACTTCTTTAAAAAGAAACCTGACGGGATTAGCACCAACACAGTTTATAAGGGTAGTATAAGTAACATATATCTACTTGATTCGCAGTATCATGGATCATGTTACTTTAATCATACATAGTAAAATTATTATTTTTTATTTCCATTACTTGTTCATTTCTTAATACATAGTCTTAACATGATTCATTATTTTTGTCGCTGTCAAAATCATTACAGCAATTTAATGAATTCTTGGAGAAAAAATAAACCGGAAAAAAGGTGTTTTTGTGTGACATCACATTCATCTTCGTCGTACACATAATCATAGTGTTACTTGTCATTTAAGTGTGTGACTAAATAATATTAAAGCGAAAAAGCCTTGCAAAAAAAAACTAGTATTACCACTATTAAATGCTGAATATAGTTTGCCTTTAAGTTGCATGCAAGTTGACAAAGTAAACTTTATTGCAGATACATGTGAGAAAATTTCGACAGGAAGTGAACAGTCTTCACCTACTACTACCACAGATAGACTTGGCTTTTACGCACACCATTTTCTCCAACGACTAAGTGCTAATCACGCATGCGCAAATGCTACTGTTACAAAGGAAATTCCTAAAGAACTATCACATTCAGACAAGACTTAACACAGTGCTTTAATAATACTTTCATAATGTGTATTTAAAACAAAAATATTGTCTAACAAATTACATAAAATAAAGACAAGCACCAATTATTATCTATAGTATTATTTGTTTTATAATTAGTGCAGCTTGTTTTTAAACAATCAAGATTAAAATTGTAATATAGAGGAAAAATCGGTTAAAATTGAAATACACAATTATATATTTAATACCAATTAAATAAGATAAGATCGGTATTTTTTCATATGTCGGATCTTCTGAACACCGCACTCTGTCCCTGATTTTTAATTTGATATAAAGCAATTGTTATCAGCTTCTGTGACGGTCTCATGAATATGTATGTAGAAAACCCATTTACAACAATAATACAGTAGCAAATAGTTATATCATTAATATATATAGTTGCGAATAAATAACTGGACAAAGTAAATTATTTTACAGTAACACGATAGTTTTACGTTAGGTGTAAGTTTAGATGCATGTGTGAATCATGTGGTCATTGGAGATTATATGAGCTGCGTCATGACAAAATCAACGTAATGTGTTTGCGACCAGCATGGATCCAGACCAGCCTACGCATCCGCGCAGTCTGATCAGGATCCATGCTGTTCGCTATCAGTTTCTCTACTTGTAATAGAGTTGGTAAGCGAACAGCATGGATCCCGATCAGACTGCGCGGATGCGCAGGCTGGTCTGGATCCATGCTGGTCGCAAACCCACTATGTTGGTTTTGTCGTGACACGGCTCATATCTTTATTATTTAGAATCCAGATAATCTGCTCCATTATATAATAATCATTTTTTGAACGATGATCATAATAATCACAATCATCGCCAATAGTTTTGTCGTTGTTGACATCAACAGAATCATTATTGTCATCCATATGCAGTATTTAAATGTGATTGTGACACCTATATAAAAGGCACATTATGCTTCAGAAAAAATCCTTCTTAAAAAGGGCAAATATGTTTTTTAAAAAAAAAGAACATTCAAGCATGTCAGATGCTTATCAACCAAGAAGAAGGCGTTGGATGTTAAATTATTTGGTGTTTCAGGTAATTAGACAATGTGTTACGTTTTGGAAACTATAACAGGACACTAAACAAGAGCTGTCAGAGGAGACAGTGAAGCTCGACTAATTAAATACTGGACGCAGTAAAGGATGATATAAATATATCTCTGTATCAGTATCAAGAAAGCACCACTCAAATGTTCAATATTTCTGCACCATATAATATGCATGTGAGCATGACAATAAAATGTAAACAGACATTTCTATGCTTTAACGGAAAAGACAACAAAATGAAATCTGAAGTCGATCATACAGTAACAAAATGATAAGAGCAAAAAGTATATTAAGTTTTTAAAATGAAATTATGACTTCAAAGACGAAATAACACTTGAAATAAAGATGATTGAGTTATGAACACCTTGTCATGCATGATGTGAGAAATGACATAAAACAATTATCTTAAGTCTAGAGTAGATACCATTTATAATAAGAAATATAATACTTATAAAAAGTATAACAATTTTCAAATAAATTCAAAAATTAAATGGAGTTAATTCTGGAAATACAGGAGTATGGCATGTTAAACGTTGCAATATTCAATAAATTTAATTTTTGGTCTATATCCAATATTTATATTGTATAACTCTAATTTTATATGCTTTACCATAATATTTATTCTATCCTACTAAAATATTTGTTCATCAAAAAATATTTGTGTGCGATAATTTTCTATATATATGTTCTATATTTGAAAATATATATTGTATAATTTAAAATATTTATTGGATACAGTACTGAAAAATATTTATTCGATAATTTGAATCATAGGATAGAACACTTAGCATATTAAGCCCCGCCTATAAAGTAAGCATGAATGTCTGATAAAGCGTTATCATCCTGATAGACTATAGTGTAGTGGAAATGATCAGTGTCCTGTGCATATGCTTAATCCTCCTTATAAATATATGTACATGTATGTCTAAAAAAGGAAAAAGATTTTAAAGTCTTCGGGACATACGAAGGATGATCACTGGGGCTGTCAATTGAAGAATTTTCAAACTATCACTTATTGTTATATATCACACTATATACCATATCTAATTTGTTAACGCAAAAAGCTTGTACGTAACAGCGATTTAAAAAACATGGCAACGCACACCGGCGCAGTATAAATTTGCGCTGACAATACGCGCTTTATGAACCGTATATTTTACAAAATGACACAATTAGATTTCAAAATACGCCGAAACGTCATAAGTCATATTTGACGTTGTCAGAAAAATGACTTCATTTATATCACATATTTTACATATATCATATTAACATATCACTGTGCAATCACAATTCATATGTCACTTGTAAAAGAAAAACTAACGTTAAAGTTATGCCGTCAAAACGTCACGAAATTCGATCAATAAGAAATTGTGTCAATAGTAAGTCGAGAAACTGTCTAAAACATAAAAAGGAATAATGGAAAAAAGGGAAAAGGTTAAGGTAGCCACAGCAAAGTTTTTGATTGAAATAAATGATTAAAAAAGGGTAATAAAAATTGAAAAAAAGAAAAATAAGGGAGAGGCAGAAAGAAGAAATTTTCAAGGACGTTGGTGACGTCAATCGCCGAGAGAGACGTTGAAAAGTGGCAGGCGATTGACTGCGGACATTATAAACTATGTTCGACAGTAGCTACGGGACTGTGTAATCAACTCTTACTAAGGAATTTAAATAATTAATATTAATGCAATTATTATCACACTGGCCATAGCTTTTGAAGAATCGGTCGCGATGGAGATTTCGTCGCAGAAGCGGTGGATAAAATATGGCCGTTTGCTGCTGCCGGTAAGTGAATTTTACATTATGTTTTAATGTTTTACCGGAAACACTTAGTGAGACTGGAGCCCACATTTGTACGTTTCCAACTTATTACACGCACACGGTGCAATTCATTGCCATTTTTGCCTATTTTAGGTTAAAACACGTACAATTGTGTGCAAAACGGCCCCTTAATGCACCAGCATTACATCATATGTATAAAACTTGCACCAAAATAACCATAATTTGGAATTTTTGAAAATTGTTATTGTCTTTTTATAAAAGAATTGACAAAAAATGATTACAACGCAGACGGCAGTGGATTCGATTGCAACGCAATGCGGCGGTCCCGATGCCATTTATGTCTATTGTGAGGGTTTAACTTGACATAACGCATTTTTCAATTTAGAACAACCCTTTTCTTACGTTGATATCAGAGAATCGCTTTCTTTTACTCGTTTTAGTGTTTAAAACAATATAATTATATATTATAAGAATCTTACACTGGCTGCCGGTACAGACCGGAATGTCTAGCTCGAGGTTAACTGTTTACTGCGATAACGAGGCTCTGCCGAGTTGCCGCTTTAAACAGTTACCCGAGAGCAAGATATTCCCGGCTGTACCGACAGCCGGTGTTTAATTCTTTATCCTGCTACTGTCAATTTCATCAGCTGGATAAAGCCTTGCCAGAATAAACTTATCTTTCCAAGTCAAAATTTAGGTTCATAAAAGGAAATCACAGTTTTTGACAAAAAAACTACATTTTTAAGGGGGCTTTTTATCGGGGAAAAAAAAGAAAGGGGAAAACCCTTTAATTATTTTAAAAAAATTTTAAAAAAAGGGTAAAAACAAAACACCCTCGTTGAAGGTCTGGCTTGGGGAAGGGTTTTTTTGGGGCCTGCGGGGAAAGGGGAAAAATTTTTGGGTCGCTAAAACTCGGCTAAAGTCACACTTTTTTTGCTCAAAGGATAAAACCTTTCCCCCCAAAACCCGGAACAAAACAAACCATTAAAATTTTCCCCATTTTTTCTTGCTAAAAAAACACTTTTTTTTTAATTTTAGCGTTTAAATTACCCCTTACAAATTTTAATAGGAAAACTTATTTTCAAAGGCGCGCGGCAAAAGACTTATTTTTAAAACGCGCGAAATTTTCTTATTTTGTAAAAAATGTGGGTGTTAGAAAAAGCTTTTTTTTTTCATCGGGGGAAACGGGGAGTTAATCCCGTCTTAATAGCAAAAAACAAAATTTATAATACTTTTAAAAAGTTTTTAACGCGCTTTTCATTTTGGGTAATCATAAAAAGTTTAATTAAATTTTTTAGTTATAAAAATTTTTTGACAGGTTAAATGGCCCTATATAAAACGGTTGTTTTGGGAAATATAACCCAGCCGGCCCAGGCGAGTAAATATCAATTTTCGTTTGATTTTTTCTGAAAAAAAAGCCCAAAAATTAAATTTTTTGAGAAAAAAAATAAAAGTTCTTCCCTGGAAACCGGGTTATAAATTTAAAAGACAATACGCTTTGGGGACGTCGTTTAAAGTCAAATTTTAAAAGTTATAGCGTGCGTCGGGTCGCTTAACATGCACATTGCATTAACGACATAACATTTTCAGTTGTTAATGTTTCTTGTTGGTATTTTTCGTTTCAAATAGGGGATATATTCCGGTTTATGTTCCGTGTATTTTTATGTAAATGCATCTTACATGATATCCTCACATAGGTTCATATCGTGGTTAAATTATTAGGCATATGAAAAACCATTATTGTACGAAGACTTTAAAATCTATTTCCATTTTTACATATACATTTATAAGGAGGATTAAGCATATGCACTATTTACAAGGGACGCTGATCATTAACACTACACTTAGTCTAGTTTAATCAGGATGATATAACGCTTTATCTACGGTGTCCTTATCGTGCCATTTAGAATGTCGTCCGTCGCGTCTAAGGGTAGACACACGACAATGCGAAGTGACATCGCGACAATGGGAAGCGACGCTCGACAACGCGAAAGCGATATGCGACAATGCAAAGCGACGCTCGACAGTGTCAAACGATATGTCGCACTGTCGCCTAGAAATGTCGCGGTAAAAAAGGGCGACATTTAAGAAATGTCGCTTCGTCGTTGTCGACTGTCGCTTCGCATTTGTCGAGCGTCGCTTCGCGTTGTCGCGATGTCACTTCGCGTTGTCGCGATGTCACTTCGCGTTGTCGCATTGTCACTTCGCATTGTCGAGTGTCGAGGTTGGTAGAAGTGCCATACCACGACACTCGACAAT